CGTTGGCACGCCACTCTCACATCTGCCTCAAGCTCCCTTTTCACATAAGCATAGAAGATAATTTTTCAACTGAAATGTATCCTCTTTCAGATGCACATGTGGAAATTGCCCCCAGGAGGTCGGGCAATGCTGCAGGGACATGCCAAAAATCACACAAAAAAACTTGGGAAGGTGTGTCACAGAAAATGAACTTTTTCTGCTCGTATGTCTGGATGTGCGACTGCTGAACATAGCGTACGACCAGCTGAAATTTTTTCGCCCAACATATTTGGAGCCAGCAGCTCGGGATCGGAACAAGTAAGACGAGAACTTTTATAGCCTATCAAATATAAATGCACTACACTGTAAGACAGTCTGTAAATCCCGCTTAGTGTATTGGCGAGTCCAACAAAATCTATCGACGCTGCGTAGCGGCACCGCCGAGAAGCTCCAGAGAGGAGGTCATTTTGATTCTGTCTTCTGCTATCACAGCTTGGTTCTTGTAGGCAGCATAGAAACAAACACTGTTTCCAGTGATTATTTTTATGCTTCTGCCATGTCATTCCCATGCATTGATTAGGTTTCTACTGTCGAAAAATCGTTTTGCTTTCTTATGTAACACATATGTTATGCTGCAATGCAAGATATTTATGGTGGTCCGCGTGCTGAACGATGAAAACGACGTCCTTTTGTCCGCCATTTTGCCTGACCAGCACACCCCCTAGACTAAGCTGGAGTCGCGAATATTGCAAACGTTAGTTGTGCTCATGGTACCTTGGATCGAAGAAGGCACATAGCCAGGTGTTTGTTTTGGGGGAGGGGGGAATATTGAATTACCTAAATTGTTGTGTCTACGTGTAGGTTGAGCCGAAGAAGACAATGAATAAGAATGAACGAACTGAGCTCTGAATGGGAACAGCTTGCCTTCTGTTAAACTTGCATAGACAGTCCCTATACATAACAATTGTCACAATCGACAGCTTCAACTCGAATATAAAGGTTGATTCACCCGTCTTTCCTACCATACCCAGGCGAGCCTGCGATTTCATGGAGGAATGATACGCCAGTACACGATCCCTTCCAATGGGTCGACAATAGATAATGGCAGAACTGCCATTCTATTTAGCTCACTTGAAGCTGAGAGTCAGCGGACCTACTGCAAACTGCCGGAAGATTCTGCCTTGTCCACTGCTACCACTCATCTAAGTGCAAGTACTGCAGGAGCTACCTCCGAATCGCGCAGACCTGCATCGCCCATTTCCAGAGCCTATGATGCAGTGGCAAGAGAGTTACAAAAATTCTTGACAGTAAAACATTGGAAAGATTTATTTTTCGTTGCACACGTGGATGACCGGCCAAAACAGTACAAGAGTGTGTCACGTTCTCCGGGGCCTTGCGACAAACTGCTGGTTTGGGACAATAACAGATGAAATAATCTGCAATCAACTTGTCAATAAGACAATTCATGCCGAAGTATGAAACCGCCCACTACTAGAGCTTGAGCTACCACTCGAATCAGCTCTTGCCATCACCTAAAAAGTTCAGCGGGCGATGAAGGAGGCCAAAGTTTTTACCAAAGATGCGGGACTCAGTTTTCAAGTGGCAAAGATTCAAGCCCAAAAGAAACCAATAGTTAGGGGCAAAACACCCAATCAAAGGTCGTCCAGCATTTACTGCAGATCTGGTTCAATGTGCCACATGGCAGACTACCCTAAACGTCCTGCAAGGAATCAAGCATGCAGAAAATGAAAGATTGGACATTTTGCCTTTGTTTGCAAGCAAACAGTTTTGACAGGATCACAAGTACCAAGCATAGAACAAACTGAAATATAGCAACTCGGATATTAGCAAACTGTACCACATGCAGGATACTTGCGTTTCTTTTTATCAAACTCCTAGTAGACACAAGACCCTCGGTTTCAATCATTCTGGAAAGCGTCTACAGAAGATGCTTCCATTCTTGTAAGTTGCAACCTACAAGTACTGCATTCATTGGCTACTCCATAAGAAAACATTGCTATTCCAAACATTTTGGAAAAGGCCAGCTCACCAGTACAGTTGGCACAAAGTAATGGCGATTGCACATTCCACGTCGTCCGAACAAGACAGCCGTAATGGGACTATAAATGCTTTACAAGGGTTGGAAATTCAACTGGACTTTTCATCTCCTGCGGATGACAGGTGACTATCATTTCGGCAAACGACCTTCCAGAGGCCGTCAAAGGTTTCCTCCAGCTGTTCTCAGGTATGGGCCACGCCATTGGGTATGTTCACAAGGTGAAGACGAAGTGTCCATCAGTCTGGTGCAACAGAATCTATGAAGGATAACTTTTGCAGTGCATGACAAAGTTCCTGTAGAGCCGGCAAAGTTGGAGCACTCCTGGGTGATCGAGCGCAATAATGCATCACAGACCACTTCCGCAAATCAAACACCTCTGTTGTTCTCAATTCACGTCCTCTTCTGTGTCCAAACGAGCTCCTTCACCAGCTTTCTGGCACCCACATCTTCAACCAGTGGGACCTCTCGTCAGCGTACCACTAGCTGAACCTGATAGAGGAGAGCGGGGACCTCATTGCGTTCGTGACTCATGAAAGTCTCTTCCTGTTCACAGTATGTTTTTTGCTGGCTTCCACTGCTCCGGCTTTTCAAAATATAAAGAACTGTATTCTTTGGGACACAACAGGCACCATTGTCAATCTATCCAGGATGATGTGCTCAACTTCAGTTGCACAACTGAAGAGCATGATGCCCGCCTAAGACAAGGCTTACCCCGCCTACAGGACGCAGGTTGGAAACCGAACAAAAACAAATGCATTTTTCAGTGCAGCAACTTCAATTTCTTGGACATAAGTTGACACCTCAGGGAATTAAGCCATGCCATGATAATGTTCAAGCCACCATGCAAGCTTCTACTCAAAGAGACATGACATCATAACCGGTCGTTGCTTGACCTGCTTACATACTGTTTCAAATTCATACCTAACTTTGCAACCATCGTGAGGCCCTTGCATGTGCATCTGCGGAAAGATGTCCCCTTATAATGGCAAAAAGCACAAGAGGTGGCATTTGCATCAGTCAAAACACGATTCGAAACTGTTCCATTTAGTTTTTGACGTGACACTGCCTGCTATCGTCACAGGTTGGAGAGAAATTTACTTGTCAGTTTTTTTTTAATTCTCCAGTTAGAATTCTACAATCGTCAGAAAGATTCATCGGATTATGGATTAGGCACAGTGCTACAGCAAAACATCCAGATGGAATTCGCACTATCCTGTTCACATCGCGATTGCTTTCCAGCGCCCAGTGCAACCGCTCTGCAGAGTTAGAGGAATAGGCGTGCCTCTGGGCCTGCGAGAAGCATCATGTTTTCCTCTTCGGTCACCATTTCATGCTCAGGATGGACCACCAGGCTCTGGTTACACTACTCTGTATTTAGGGAAACGGTCGACAACCGATAACAATTGCCGGGTGGCCATGCGTCTCCTCAAGATCACCAAAAGGGCAATGAGAATGTTGTGGCAGTCGAGCTTTCTCGTCTTCCTGCATTTAATTCCTCAGATTGCACGAAGTCATACGTCGAAAAAAGAAAATTCACTTGCCCTGTGTGCAGTCTCTGCTGAATTGACCAAGAAGAGGTATAGAAAGAGAAAGAACAAGACCCCGATTTACCTCGGGTGATAGTGTGTCAACATGGGTTGGGGTCTCAAATACCTATGGGAATCAGCACTGTCTCCCACTACAAGATACGAAAAGAACTTTCCTCTGTATAGGGCTTACTGCTATACGCAAAACTGCTGGTTCCTTCTGCTTCACTCAGACGAATGGTGTGAACCAAAATACAACTATGTGAATGCTTCTGTGGTGGCCCAGAATGGATAGCGAAGCCAATACTTGTCCAAATACTGTCACGCATGTCAGACAACCGACAAGTAAGCAGCGAAAGAAGGATCACCTCTACAACCAGTGCTTTTTCCAATAAGCGCATGGAAACAGCTTGGAACAGACACTGTGGAACTATTCTACAAACTTCTCTCACCATTACCGTTTTGCAACAAACTAGTTCAGTAAGTAGCCTGGGGTTGCTTTCTGTAGTCAAGTGACAGCAGAGATTGTCTGCGACTTCCTAATAACAACATTGAGGTGAGAGGGACATCCAAACATTACTGCCTTGGACCATGGCTTACAGGTCAGGTCCCGCACAACCTGAGAGTTCCTCAGGTCGAGGGACTTCTCATCATCAGTCTGCAATTTGCAGTCCACAGGCGAATAAACGAGTTAAAAGATTTAATTGAATTTTAAAATTGTCTGTCCAGTCAATCACTCAAGAACGAGGAAACACCCATACAGGCAGTAGTGAATTTCTTCTCTATAAAAGCACACCAGAAGCAGCGGCAAAGGTTTTCACGCATGAAATTTCTAGAAATGTCTAGATATCATGGGCTTTCCAGGTTTCGAAAAGCCTTTTCCTATAGAGATGCGGCAAAAGGGTCCCCAAGTTCACAGTAAAAGTGTAGCAGATGAAGTCTTTCTAAGACTCTTACCAATTCTTCTGTTACTTTCTCAGACGGTACAGGTACACGGCATACAGCCAGTTCGTCTGGTGGATTTGGGGACGACTGGGCAGGTTTCGCCGCGTCAGGCTCCCGTGCTGTGTGGTGGCCAGGATAAGAAAAGAATTCCCATCGACCACATACACGGGCTTCCACTATGCTTGATCGAACCGGGTCCTGTGGGCCAACACCGCTGCTTCCTTGTCTGGCCTTTGTGCAACGCTGCACAGAGGTGGTCGACGAGGACGCGGCCCGTTCGCAGCCACAGCCAGCTGGTAGGTCCGGGAAGCCTTGGCCAACTCCAGGCAGGAATTGAGGAGCCTCTGGACGTAGTCTGAGTAAGAAAGTGTGATAGTCAAGCTGCAGCCAATGTCTGAATAAAAGTGTCTGTATTTACCGTACGACGCAGTCTCCATGATGGGGCTGAGGACCCATTCGCCTTTCTGTGACTTGGGAAACTTCAGACAACTTCACTTTTTGTCGTCCTTCGTTGTGGCCTGCGCACGGTTGCTGTTCTCATTGTAGTGGAGCACCGCGACGGCAGTCCTGTGAGGGCCGCATATAAGGGGAGGAAAGACTGTAAACATGCCCCAAGCATATTTCATATTAGAACTTTTCAGAAATTTTCATACTGCACAACACATGCTAGTAACCGTATCCACACTGGCAGGCAACCTGTCGTATGCTAGCAGACCATCCTCGGGAACATGGCCCTGCTTCGTTTCACACACTAGCAACCCATCCTATTCTCATTGATTGACTCACTATTATTGTGATCAAAATTAAGTCGACACTTCTCATTTACTGTAAACGACTTATTTTTCGCGGTCTCAATATTTCTTGATTTTGGTCGAAGCTCAAGCTTTGTAATAATTCGCAGGTTCTAAGTTTTGCGACACAATGGGATCTCAATGTAGATTCGTATGTGCTTACATTCTACCAAAATTGTTTGCGGGACATATTTTTCGCAAATTGTAGGCGATTCACAAAAATTAGGCCTTCGCGAAAATTAAGTCGTTTACAGTTCAAGATGCGCTGCAATTTGCCACCATTGTGCGGACACAAGTATGTGTGAAAAATGGCTTCCCTTCGACTTACGGTAACAATGAGAAGCTCGTTAAAGACGAGGGAGATAAAGATTGTACAAATTGACGTAGGGCCTCGCTCCTAAAAACAGTATGTGCACTCGCTCATCTGCTAGTGTACATAAGTGCATCCCCAGAATTTTCTGCGTGAGTGGTGCACAGTAGAAATTTCAGAAAAGGCTCATAAATAAACAAATATCACTAGCATATATCAGGATGCCTGCTTACCGTGCCACCATGCCCTCAAAACTGAAATGACTGGATTTCGGAGTAAACCGGAGCAGCATGCTGTGGAACGACTCTAGGCGATAGGTCTGACCGTCTCCAGACACCCTTGGTATGTCCTTGAGTAGTTGCTTGGACATGACGATCTTTTCGAGAGCCACGTATGGCTCGGTCCCTGCGATAAGAGAAAGTACCGAAATAACCCTCAGGGTGTCTAGCAAGTTATTACAACTCTACAACGGTCCCTGACCATTGTAGAGGTGGTTAAATATATCAGATCATTACAACACAAGGCATTGAGCATTCAGAACTGTAACAATACTTTCGCACGGGCTGAACCCAACTTGCATATTCCGAAATATTTGGGTTCGTCCTGTCCGGATTAAATGAGCACTTTCTTGCCCCCTGACATAGTCAGTGAAGAAGCCACTTCCAGAAACACAATAAAAACATGACGCTGAACCAGACATGTTAATAATTACGAATGGCAGCATGGCATAGCCGCCAGATGCACACTTTCGCATACTTTTGGCTTGGATTGTGTTGGTTTCTGCAGCTTTCCCATTTGTTAATAATAATAAATCTAGTAGCTCTAACTGGATCTAGTCTAGTGTCGCGCCCTCAATCCAATCCAAGGCTTTTACTGGATTTGTCGGCGGTTCCCTTTGCATCGGGTATTACACTCTACATCAATTGAGCAGGGCCCGCGGGCTCCGCTCCAAGCAGAATTTATTACCTATTTTTCTGCCCACAGGTTTGCAAGTCTTTGCTCAGGGCACTCGATAGCGTTTCCGGCACATTTTCCCTGACTCGGCTCGCTCTTTGGCAATATCCCTGACAGTCCCCCGATTTTTCCTGGTAATTAAATTTCCCCTGACAATTCCCGGTTTTGCCGGTCTCTAGACACCCTGACCCTTGTAAGTGCTGAGTTTATATCGATAATGACTGAGCAGGTAAGCCAGAGCGCAGCCGAGTATACTCCTGGTGGCACCCAAAAGGTTAAACAGCAAAGCCAGTGCCCATTGCAGCCTGTCCACAAATCACTTTTTTGTGTTGTATACGTGATGCAACTGCCATTTTATTTTTTATCCATCTCTGCAGAAGCTAGATCTCTGCTCAGTAATTCTGCATAAATAATTTTCATATAATCTGCAATTTTCCTTTTTATGCGTCTTTTGCATGTTACAAGTCGGTCTTCACTTCCTCATTCTGTGTCTTTTCATGACCTCAAAAGTGGAGTGTTTTTCTTGAAATATAAGGCTAGAAACATGCAGTTTAAGCCTCTTGATGTAATGAAATGTCCGCTCAGTACTATGAGCTGGATATGAGATGGAGTCCTCCCATCGGCAGGTCTAGAAGGGGGGGGGGGGTTGGGATATCCTGACCCTCCTTTTGAATTCCGCAGGTGTGAAATGCAGAGCGGAAAAGGGGGGGGGGGAGCATACGAGTTATCCGAAACACAATCTGGTATGCTGATCCCCCATCTGGAAACACTTGCATTCATCTCCGATTCCTCCTTGTGCTATTTGATTGTAGACTGGCCAGAGCAGCCAAAGGAAGTCTGTCCTTGTTATGAAAGCTTCGCCGACAACTGGAGTGAAAAGAATGTTATGAATGTTTAAAGAATGAATCTTTTTTACCTTCCTGAAGCCACCAGCGCTCTTCGATTGGGCCATGGGTGCACGCAGGGTACAGGGGGCTGGGGTGCTGATGGACGTTGCTCACGTGTCGCATTACGGACACCCATTTTGCGAGCACCAGCGCGCCATTGTCACTGCTGGTCTGTGCACACCAGTAGACGTGCCCACGTACAGTCTTCACCCATGCATTCAAGATGCTGTTCTTCTTTGTCTTGCCTGCAGAGGCCATCTTGCTCCCAATGCCTATAAATTAGAAAGCCTCCATGATTATTAGCTCAGCACCAGTCTAGTTTGGAAAACAAGTTTTGATATTAGATACACTAAATATATGAAGCTATAGTAAAATTGCATCTAGATACTGGTGCAGCATGGACAACATCGTCAACTTTAGTATACCATATGACGTTTGAATAATGCCACGTGTATCTTGACAACAAAGCAGGTTGCACTATAGTTCATTGCGCCAGCGATCATTAACTCAATCGTGATCGGGCGGTGTTACACAGCAGTGCCATCTACCATCAAGCCGCTAACGATCATTGAATTCAACTGAGCTCGCCTACCTCAGTTAACTGATGGGGGTTCACCCCAACAGAGCTAAAGATGGCAGCATTCACCACTGATAGCCAGTGCTAGCGAAGCATTTACTATTGCAGAAGAAGGTATCTAAAAATTATCATAGCAGCAAATATTATCAGAAGACGTATGATACGAAGTCAGAGCTATCACTAAAACTATTGCGAAACGTCGAGGAAGTGCGGCCATTGTGATGTCGGTGGCAGTAAGACTTTCGTTGTCACTCTTGCTTTAAATTTCTGTGAAATATTCCAATTTTCGTTTTCTTTGTTCTCAAAATAAACTAAAATCTATCACTCTGAACGACTTATTTTTTGCAGGCTCAATATTTTACGATTTAGGTCAAAGCTGAATTTTGGGAATAATTTGTGGGTTTTCATTTTTGCGACATGGTGGGATCTCAATATGGGCGATTCGTGAAATTTAAGTTGTTTACAGTATATGTCAAGTTAAACTTTTTTTTGTGTGTGTTTTGTGAAACATGTTACACACAATTATCCTCAATACTTTTTTTTCTATCATGTGGGTCACGTGACGTGCATCAGAACTCGGGTCATTAGGCCCATGTACCGCGTAGCACCAGGCAACTTAGTTGAGCTCAGTGAGATGTCCATGATCCTTGACTCAATGATTGTTAAAACGGCCCATGTACAGGGGTATTGGAGTTATCAATACTATTACCTTTTGCGACATGCCATGCGTCGAACCGGTGCTTCGTGTCGGGGTACCTGTCTCTCATCAGGGCATTCACCCCAAAGTGCCGGTCGGTCACAAGAACACACACAGACAGCCCCATGCTCAGGAGGAAGTCCAGAGAACGTTTCAGGCCCTCCGTCTCCATGTGGTTGCTCGACTTGACTTCTGTCGACTAGGGTAGAAAAAGGTGCCGTAAAATGCATACCTGATCCATGTGATGCATTGAGGTCATCTTATATTTAGCCACTTCTTACCTGAAGAACCTCGTAGTGCATGATCTTGTTGATGCGGGTGTCAAGCAGTGTATATGTCCCATACTTGGCAGAGTAACCAGGCGAGTCAGCACGCCCATCGCCTGCAAGGTGGAGCTTGTCTTTCGTGGCTGTCAGGAGAGACTCCTGTTCAGCTTCCCAGGTCTTTGAAACAAGAAAACTCAGTGTCAGGCTCAATCAGTGAACATGTTTAATGAACGGACAATCTTGTAGTCACTTCTGCTCACCTTTGTAGCAGCAGGAAAGACCAAAGAGCTCTGCACCCGGAAGAACTGAGTCTTCTTCAAGACTTGCACGCCTATAGATCCCAGGAGGCGAAGAACGCGCGTTGGGCTGGCTCCAGAGTAGGTGATGGCAGCAGGCAGCAGGATGTTGAGGAGTGCCTTGCTGTTGATTCTGGGCTGGTTCTCCCACACAGTCTTGTGCCCTCGTGCACACGTGATGACGGCGTGCACAAGGGTCCCTCGATGTGTCAGCTTCGTCCGTGTCGGAGCCAGGCATTTGATGCAAACCGAAAACAGCAGCAGCAGCTGTGATGCAGTCACCAGGTACTTCCTCTCCTTTACCGGGTCCACTGCTGCTGAAGACGTGCTGCACCCTCCTTCACTGTTAAAAAAAGAAAAAGAATAAACCAAAAGATTATAGTGTGGAAATTTCAAAAACAGTTCTTTTTTAACGCTTCTAATTTTTTCTATTCTGCCATCATCTCTCACAGTTCTTTGCACAAAACCGGGATATCTAACAAGCTCCTCCTTTCATATTCATTGACCTTGCCAGGTTCTCCCAGACTATCTCTATTAAATTTCCTGGCCGTTATTTCAACCTGGTCCGAATAACCAAGTGTGATCGTCGTGCTTTTTATAGGATGTACTTCTAAGGCTCCTCCACTGCGCCATAAACTGTATGTATGATAAAAAACACCCATGTAACCACCATACTAAAGTTTAATTTAGGAACTGGTAGTATAATAAATTAATTAATTATGCATTTAATTAGGTAATGGCTTGCACTATCGAATGATGTTTCAGGGAACATTATTGGGTGCAGCTGTGCCGATGTGCGACTGTAAAGCTTCGTTATTACTGCCGTGCCACTTCCATTTGTCATTTCTCCTGATATAGCCAACCTTTTGACTGTTTCCCTTATATTTGTCTAACTTTTGCAGGTGAAGAAAAGCCCCAGATAATTACAAGTTTTCCAGATTGGTAGACCTAGCTTAATCCTATTCATAAAATGGAGTTCTGGTTTCTGAAAAATTACAGTGGACACATACTCGACATCTGTTGCACCGTCCGAGTGCACAGAGTCGTTGGACCAGATGCTGGTGTCGGAATCCGGTTCATCATCGGAGTTGAAAGAGTTATCCGGCCTGTAACTCTCGTCCAACAGATCTGGCTCAGGGCAGATATCTTCATCGGAGTCCAGGAAGGCGGCCTCCGTGTAACTGGTGTCCGAAGGCGATGCCCCAGGTTCTGAGGGTTCGGGAGTGGCATCCCGCTCCAACGACAAGGGGCTTGGCGTCTTGTCCTCTGTAGGCGTAGAGCACCACTGGCGCAATTCTTGCTCAACGTCTGCAGAATTCTCTTGGGCTTGTTGGGGACTTCCGGGAACAGCTGGCTCGCTCCCCAAAGGGCTTTGGCCAACCATGCCTGGAAAAGATTGAATGCCAGAGCAAACATTATGGTGTCAAAACTGCTTAACACGCACAGTAACAGTGTGCATGACATGACTTGTGATGCAGTGCAGTTTTTACAATTGATGAGCAAAAATATATATCCGTCACTCTCACCCTTCCCAGTTTATTTTGACGCAATAAAAACATTAGGTCCCCACCTTTCTGCCATGCAACTGCAAATAGCCCAGGCTCAACGAAAGATGAGGGAAATGCATGAATGGCCACAGTCAAAGGTAGTGTTATGAACTGGTTGGAACCAGTTCATGCTTGGTAGCGGCAGTAACCAAACTAATATCTAGCAGGCATGCTGGAACCGAGACCAAACCACAACAAAACACAAAATCGGCGGTTCAACACCATGGTTATGATATAACGGTGGTTCTGTGTTTTCAAATAAAGCCGATGAAATCCAAAAACCATTTGCCTGTAAAACTTTTGTCAATTCGAATTCATCCGAAAAAAATAGGATTTTGAAGGTCACACCGACCGGGGAAAAGAAAAAAGCGTGCAATAAAGATCAGGTTGGATCAGTGCGAAGGGTCGTCGGTCCTGAGAAAGACGGTGGGTGTCTGGTTTTGCAGAGAACAAGGCAATGTATTTCTAGGTAACGGCAGAAATAAGGCTGTACGTCTAACGGTGCTAGCGGTTGTTCCAGTCTCAAGTTCAGACCATAGTCACCATGGACAGCATAGTTCCATCAGTGGGTGCGGGTAAAGTGACTTGAATGGGGGTGCGTGAAGCTGAAGTTGCTATACTACTATGTTGTTCAACCTGCGCTTTCACGGCACATTTCTGTGGCACCTGCAAGAGCGAGGCGACATTTACTTTCATGCATATACAAACATGTGCACTTGTATTTATTACAGCAAGCTTGTAGTAAATACAAGCACACTTGCTTGTTTTGAAATGCATAGATGAGCTCATTGTAAATATTTCACACTATTAAAATTTGTTTTGATAGAAGAATGAAGTCCAAATAACACTTTCCAAATTTGACAAAAATAAACTCGGGGAAACACGGACATAATGCATCTATGTTATGTATACTATTAAAACTCTCGTCACAATTGTATTACATAGATAGCACTATATTCTTAAGCCACCACAGCTACTCACCGCAAGATGTTGGCAGTGCCGGATTTTCAGTCGAGGTCTGACAAAGCTCCTCGAAGGCTTGCACAGCTTTGTCCACAGACAGTGTCGGTGTACCTGGCACACCAAAAAACATTACATTTCAGATATAGACTCGAATAACATTGCACAAAGAGAGAGAGAGGGAGACTGATAAAGCTATTCTGTCATTACACGATAAGGTGAACCAAGTCACTACATACCTCTCGTTACCACACACATACAGATGTGGCAGATGGGCGGCTCCAAGTGCGGTTCAAAATGGCCATCAATTGCAGTAGTTGCTGGCACGGTGTCGCATAAAGCGGCGGTGCTGCTGTTGCACCCTGGCCCAGAAGTGGAAGCCTGGTCCCCGCTCTGTAAAAGCAGTGCGATAGTTACTACAACTGGTATACACCAACTCATGTTTACAAACAAACCGGAGCGCCCCTAGTGGGCGCCACCGGCACCGCGTATGCGCGATGGGGGTGTGGGCAAGAAGCTCACCGTCGCCCATAAACAAACCATTGAAATGCGATGTTGTCGTCGTCGGTGTAAGTTCCCGGGCTCTTTTTCGCGTTGGAATTGTTGATTCTACGTCCTCCTAACGATGTCCGACTACTTGAGCGGCGTCAGCGAAATTAACGAGGCTTGTTACACCGCAAAACTTCGCGTGAATAATCTGACATGCGGCGATTCATTCCGCGTGGACGCCGCAGAATAGCTAGAGCCTGATTCACATGATGAGATTTCACTCGCAATTTTCAATAGCGACGTCGCTCGGACTGCAAAAGCGTGAACCGTAGCTGAGATGGTCGACGTCAATACTGAAAATCGCAAGCAGAATCTAACCAAGTGAATCAGGCCTAACAAGTCGGTGATGGCCACTGGTAACAATGATCAACATCTCCTCGTATCTACTGTTTACATCGAGCCTGCTTACCAACCTTCAAACTTAAGTCTTTTGAGGCCTGCACTTACTTCTTATCGCAAGTGCCGGGTCCACGTTTGGTCTACGGGCCGGTGTCCTCTAAAAGGGCAGACGACAAACAGAAACGTTTGAAAGAGCAGACGACAGTTCGAACGATCAGGCGACCGTTTAAACTTGAAGACGCACTGAACGCAGTTCGCAGGTGGTCCGTACAACCTGACGGTTTTCCGGCATTCATTTTGGAACAAAACAAATAAATCTGATGGCCAGAAGTATCCGTGAATTCAACCCAAAAATGCTTCCCGCCCAAGCAACTGACCTTCAAACCTTTCTCGACCCTTTTGGTACAGCCCCAGTCGCAGCATTTTGACAAGAAGGCAGGTTTTTGTCTGGTTGCTTTCAAAACAACGCAGGAATACACGTCTCAGATGGGCACTTCCGCCCACAGCCCCGGACTGGAAGTGCGTCCGACGCGCCACAACCGCGCCGTGACGTAACAGAAATGAGTTTGTGTATACACGAACTCAACTCTGCGACGTCACGGCGCGGTGGTGGCGCGTCAGGCAAACGTCCGGTCTGGGGCCGTGGGCAGAAGTCCCCATGCCAGACGTGCATTCCTGCATTATTTTGAAAGAAACTAGACACAAACATGCCTTCTCGTCAAAACGCCGTGACTGGGACTGTACCAAAAGTGTTGAGAAAGGTTTGAAGGTCAGTTTTCACGTGCTCGGTTCGCCCGAGAATCTGGATATGTGCTGTGAAAAGGGAAAAGCAGACGCCGTCGGACAACGATTGCTTGGGCGGTAGGCACTTTGGGTTGAATTTGCGGATGCTTGTGGTCATCAGATTTATTTGCTTTGTTCCAACATGAACGCCAGAAAACCGTCAAGTTGTGCGGACCATGTTCAGTGCGTCTTCAAGTTCAAACTGCTGCCTGATCGTTCGAACTGTCGTCTGCTCTTTCAAACGTTTCAAGCGTCGGTGTGAGTTCCCCTGCCCTTTTTCGCGTTCGAATTGTTGCCCTGGCAATCTCCGACCACTTGAGCGGAATCAGCGAAATTAGCGAGGCTCGTTACACCGCAAAACTTCGCGTAGTGGTGGTCCGCACAACTTGACGGTTCTCCGGCGTTATGTTGGAACAAAACAAATAAAGCTGATGACTACAAGTATCCGTGATTTCAACCCAAAGCGCTTCCCGTTCAAGCAATCATGGTCCGACGGCGTCTGGTTTTCCCTTTTCACGACACATATCCATGTTCTCGGACAAACCGAGCACGTGAAAACTGACCTTCAAACCCCTCTCGACTTTTTTGGTACATCCTCAGTTGCGGCATTTTGACTAGAAGGCAGGCTTTGTGTGGTTCCTTTCAATGCAGGAATACACGTCTCGCATGGGGTCTTCCGCCCACAGCCCATACCGGAAGTGCGCCCGACGCGCCACCACCACGCCGAGACATAACAGAGTTGCGTTTGTGTACATATAGGCTGGTTTCACATGATATACCTTCTGCTCAAACCCACGGTAGAATTCTTAGTTTGTGGGCCTTAGCCCTTTGCTTTTCTGCGGGCGGAAACAATGTTTTCCAACTTGCGCAATTTTTTTTTTTTTTTTTTTTTGCGTTGTGATTGGCTGCGCCAGTCAAAGAGTCGGCAATGCAAAGGAGCGTCGGCTGGTACTCAATTTTCATACATATTGATATTTATTCGGAGCTTAGAGGATCTGTTACTTGAGGAATTGGCTCACTAGTGGCCAAAATGGCCCCAGTCGGTGCTGCGGGGCCACCTTGATGGACAGAAAAGCGTAGTGAACAAAGGTATGTGAGGCCTAAGAGCGTCTTCGATGGTGCTTCTTGAGCTCTGCCGTCGGTAGAGATGCTGATTAGGTTTTGTGGGATTCACCAACACCGCAAAACTTCGCTCATAAACAAGCGCCTCCACGTAACGAATAGGGCAAATGGTAGATGCAGCCCGCGCCCCCCCCCCCCCCCCCCTGCACTCCGAAGTGCAATCGAAGGAAGTGAAATTTTGTTTTTTGACATCACCTTATATCAAACAATGCGAGACGCTGTTGATGATTCACTTTTTGGTTGCGGGCCAAGGACCTGCACGTTCAGTATTAGTAAACATGTTTCGTTACTCATAACAATGTTATCTCCATGCTCATGCATAAGATATGGCTAATTTGTACCAATGAAAACAAAAATACGCACTTGGCTAAGGCACGCTGTTCTGGCTTGGTTCTGACCAACAGGTTCTTCTTGAGCCACTGGTGCATCCAGCGATGACTCATATGTTGGTGCTTTGGAGTCGTCATCCCATGTAGTGACCACTGGCAAGCTACTGCTCTTCGACACTGTGCTGCTGCTGCTGCTACAGTGGTCACCGCTCTGTGAAACCAATCGGTCAATATTTATTGTCTTTGATTTGTTCATAACACACCCTATAGCCTAGTTTAAGTGTAAGGGCCGCGCGAAAGTTATAAAATAATGAATGAATAAACATTATCGTAGGGATGGGTTCCAGCACCCCCAGGTGAAGCCCAAAGTCCGGGGCCTCAAAAATGGCGGCCACCAATTTGGCACGGTCCACCTGCTATTGCTGGCCAGTGGCCGCGTCATCGGTCTGCCGCTCCTCCCAGGAGGTGGGGGAGGGGTTGGGAAGAGGCGAGACAGAGGGAATGTCCTGGCATTACCAGACCATGTGGAGAAGTGTGGGAAAAGAGTTGATGTCATAGAACGCCCTGTCTGCGAGTAAGAGAAGGCTGAGGAGAATAATGTTGTTCAGTTGGTCGGATGGTGGCAACCCCATATCTTCCCCATATTCCCGGTGTGAGAGTTCTCGGGCGAGTACACAAGCACACTCATTACCAGGGACAGCTGTGTGTTCAGGGACGGCTGCGTGCCCAAACACACAGCCCAGGCACCCGCACCCAGACTAACGGGAAAGTGTGGGAGGTGGAGTATAGGAAGGAGTCGAGTAGGGACACAGTGGATAGATGCAAGGTGGTGAGAAGGAAGTGCCGGCAGGCCGTCTGGGAGTCAGCCAGAATGTTAGTGGGGAGGAAGAGGAGAGAGTGGAGGTGGAAAGAATTGCCCTGTGCTAAAATGACGATGTGCAACAAGTGTCAACATAAATACCAATTGGATGCCTATATTAGAATATCTTGGTCGCAAAACAAACGAACAGTTTTCTAGTCTAACTTGCAATAATGATCGGATATATTGTTCAGATTACTGGTTTTGAAAACAACTTGTTTGCTCTTAAATGTACTTTCTACTGGTAACAGCATAGATAATTGAAATATATTAATATTATAGTACATAACGGCGGTGTTCAGAGTTACGGTTCCCAATTTCAGGTTCGGTTCAGTCCTGGGTAAAGTTCGTACAGCCGTTTGAGCGTTTGCAAGAGCACGCCAGCCCGCGCGCGGACACGCGCACTCACTTCTACTGATATATAGCACAAAACGTTCGCGTGCGTTCACGTGCGACGTGCTCGTGAATGTCGCCTCAACAGGCTTGCAATCGCACGTGCTCGCCCGCACGAACAGAGACAAAAGCATCGGCCAGCGCGACGTGAGCGAGGAATATACGTACCCCGGTCCGACGACGCTTCACGCATGATTCGTCTGCTGTTTGGGGAGGCGAGGATCGAGGAACGAGGTACGACGACACGGCGTCCGGCGTCAGTCCGTCGGCTGTTACGGAAGGCGAGGATCCAGGATCGAGGATCGACGGCACGGCGTTTTGATCCAGACGCGCGTACTTGGTTGAAAACCCAGCGTCGCAGAACAAGCGCAGATCTCGCTGGTAGCATTCGGGCAAAAAGTGGTCAGAACAGATCAATGTCCTGCTATTTGGCGACCACGGCTTCTCGGAGTTCCAACGGCGCACGATGTCTGTCCAAACAATGAGACGCGCACTGTCGCGAGGGAACTTGTGAAAAACAACTCCCGGGCTGGTCGACTGATAGTTCAAGCAGGCAGCAACACAACATCGTGAGCCTATGGCCCTTCTGCGAGGCATCGCAGCTAGGCTTCGGGGATGCTGCCCGCGCTCGAACCGTAACAAAACCACAAAACGCCGTCCTCCTACTGCTCCTACTGCAGCAGAGGCGAAACGAGGAAACGAGTGCGTCTGCTCCCAACTTGGCGCATGCGTTTTACGGTGATCATGTGGACAGAGCCAACACGCAACGCCGGGAGGAGCCACTTCCACTCACGACCTCTTCGTTCAATTTCGCCCGGAGAAGTAAAAACAACCAAAACATAGAACTGACATACGCATGCCTCTGACGTAGGTGCTCACTGTTGGCTGCGCCAGATCCGTGGTATTGACAGCGCTGTCGATTGCTCTTCACGTCGCGCGCTAGAGTTAGCAGATTTCGGCGACTTGGCTCGTTTGAAAGTTTGCTGGCCAGATTAATAAATATTTAGACGGAATTACATCGCGAAACTTGGCATGTGGTCTTCCTATATGATGCTGAAGAGGGCTACATAGTTTTCTCAATATCAAAAATGAAGCGGAGTTGCCCTTTAAGACAGCAGGACGGTGGCCATGGAAGTCGGAACCCGCTAAGGAGTGTGTAACAACTCACCTGCCGAAGCAACTAGCCCCGAAAATGGATGGCGCTCTAGTGTCGAGCCTATCCCCGGCCGCTGCCGGCAGATGCACGCAAACAAGGGGGTGCTAAGCTGCAGCGAGTAGGAGGGCCGCTGCGGTGAGCGTTGAAGGTGTCGGGCGTAAGCCCGCCTGGAGCCG